GCTACCTCAGGCCTCGCTCACCACCGACCACATCGCATCGCACATCGGCAAAGCCATGGGCATCGCAGCCGTACTGCGAGGCATCCCGCTCATCGCATTCCCACCGCAACAGCCACTAGGCACTAGCAACTCCATGACCGGGCAGTCTGGACCCACGCAAGGCGCCGTACTCCTCCCACTCGACGTAATGGCCGAAGCCAATGTCCGCGAAGAGGACGTCTTCCGGCAAGGCGCTTCCGCCCCTGGCCTCCGCGACGCCATCTTCACCGTCGCGACACGCGCGAACGACCACCTCATTACCGCCCGCGAGATGCTGTCTAAGCTGCGATCCGAAGGCACGCTCGGCCACGACTTCGAACACCAGAACGAGGAGGAACATCAGTACAGCGCACAGCAGATGAACACAGGGCAGGAAGCGCAATTAGCGGAGGTTGAACAGGCATTCGGTGTATTCATGCCGAGCATAGCGACACAGTCCTGGTTGGACAGGCTACAGGGTGTGGACTTTGACATCTTCGATGCGAGTCTGAGGAAGGTCGACTGGAAGCTACCCATGAAAGCGTACTGGGCGTATAGTCGACGAAAGATATAATGTTCAAAAAGAATGAAGCGTTTACCGATGTACTTCACAAGGCTGCAAGGTGCTCGAGCGATGATGCTGATCATCATGAATATACGAGACGGCGAGTTACGAGTGGAAATTCAGGAAGTCGGCCAACGCCATGCGGATCGTGTCTTCTGTTTTGAGTTCCTCCTGCTCTCGAAGCTGAGGTAGGGAGAAAGAAGGAAGTATGGTGAACATCTGCCTCTTTAAATACCCTTTCAGAGCCCTTCTCGTAAGCGAGTCGGTAACCTAGTTGAACATCCATGAGAAGGTCATGGCAATGTCGAGGTTGCTCTTTTGAATAGCACGGCAGATCTCCGCACAGAACGTCATGCATATCGACATGACTTCTTTGAACTTGTTCTCATGAAGCTTCTGATATTAGTTTTCTTCTCTTCGTTTCCACTATGAGAAGATCGACGGGCCGCCGCAACACATCCAACTCAATCCCATTGAGTTTTTATGACCTGAGCTTTTGAATATAGCGTGTCGGAGGTCTCAGTCTTGGAGCAGGAGCCGAACAGGAGCAGGACAGACACTCATGTCGACAAATTGTAGGCTTTTGGAGGTAAAGTGTAGGAAGTTGGCCTTCAGCGGAAGAGCGAGGGCACTGCTCATGGTTCCATTCTGATCGAGTTTTGGAAAGCGAGGGCCGAACACATGAAGGGTCTGACCGTGGTTTTTGGAGCAAGAGAGAAGAAGAAGGGACCTAAGGAGTAAGTGTGTTCATGGAAGGCGAGGTTTATATATGCCATGGGACTGAGGTGGACACTCAGCGCAGCATATCGCGAGACCAACTATTTTCGGTTTTCGATGTGCTCTCATGTGCTCTTGTTGCTCAGACAAAACATACTCAGTGCATCCACCATTTGTGAAAGTCTCCAGGGTTCGGCGCGCAGAACAACATGTGCAGGACTTGGTTCTATTTTGGTATTCTGTTGCAAGTGATAATGGAAGATGGAAGGCAGAGAAAATATGTCTTCGGCCAGTTTTGGTGGTAAAGACTCAGCCTTTATCCTTTGCGCAAGAGCGGTGACAATGCTCATGGGTCCTTTACCGCTCCTTTCTGGACAGAGAAGGGCGGACACATCCCATGTTGGCATGACTTTTTTTGGAGAACACAGTCGATAAGGAGAGGAGTTGAGGAACAAGAAGGCGAGCGGAAGTCGAAATTTATATATTCGATCAACTAGAGGCGGGCCAAGGCGCAGCATAACCGACTGGCATATCCTATTTTGCTCATAGTTTTTCGCATCTTCTTTTCGCGCGGACAAAACATGAGAATCTGTCAGTGCAGTTTAGAAATCTTGGCACGGAGACGGACATCAGTTGTAGCCCCCAGTTTTTTTTTTGAGGTATTATTGGAAGTGATAATAAGAGAGAGAAGAGGGAAGGACTTCAAGACTGCGAGGCCTTAAGTAGACCAGTTTGCATGGCGAGCTACTCCCCATGAAGATGTTGCCGGCCGGAGGCCAACAGCACATCGCGCGCTCGACTCGATATTTTGAAAAATGCACATCCATATGGTTTTTGAAAACTTTGAATGAGGAGAATTCTCAGGGGAACAAAGGAAGAGAAGAAGAGTAACGATGCATATTTCATACTCCTCCGTCCTCGCCGCAGATTCGTAGTGGTGGTAGAGCCTGACGTAGTGCGGGTTGGCCGATCATGCGCAACGAGTTGTAAGATTGAAAGAGAACCGCGACCATGACAACGTCGCTTCTGTTCCCAAGTCAGGTTCTATGCAGGAAATATGCGTCCGGTACGCGCGTAAAGTCCAAGCAAACTATTGATTCGGATGAATGACACGGAAAGCGAGGATCAGAGCCCCGCCCTTTCGTATCCGATTTGGTTAGTCTACGCATCCTGCGTGTCATTGTCCTGGAGTATATCATGTCGCAAACACGTCGCTTTGGTAGTAAGATACATTCACGTTCGTTCATAGAGTTTGTATCGTGTTTGTCACACGTACATTAGTTGAGGATGGCGTCAAATGTGTGTGCCCTCCGTCGCGACCTCGGGACTATCCCCAAGCTAACAACCACAGCCAAACGCATCGATACCCTGGGCGGCATCTCAGAAAGAAGATGCGTCCAAAGTAGGATTTCTGGACCTACCGCGCGAACTTCGCGACATGATCTACGAGTTCGCGTTCCGCATCAAAGGCGCGGTTCTCGTCTACTCGCGCGACCCCTTCGCAGTTCGGCCGGTGATGAGAGTGCTGAACATCCGACATGGCGGCGAAGGTCCGATTGAACCACAACCCTTGTGCAGCGGCCAGATCCCGGTAGCACTCATAAGGACGTGTCGACAGCTGCGGGCAGAAAGTAGCCCTGTTTTCTACGGGTCGAACGTTTTTTCTTTCTGGGCGCTGGGCAACATCGACGTGGGTTCCGCCAATCGGTGTTTGGTACGGCACATTGTGACTGAAGCAAGTCCTCGCGGCATCTTCGACAAGTCTCTCGAGCACGTCAGCTATTGCTGGAAGAGGAGGTTTTGGCCTGAGATATTGCGTAGCAGCGAGGCTATATTGGAGCACTTTCCATACCTAGACACACTGACGTACTCACTGAAGCCACCGCGTGAGGAGGTTTGGAAACCTGCTTTCTTTGATGTGGCCAACAAAACTAGAGAGCAGCGTGTCGATCTGGTTGCTAGTTGGATGGGTCAAATGTGTCCTTGGGAGAACGAGCGACTGCGTCGGATTGTGCATCTCGAGATGGTGCCTTCGCCTGGGCTCTCGAGAGATGAATATGCGGGTTCGCGGTTCGTTCTTGAAGACGAAGACGTCTGGGACTACACCGAGTTCGTGGATGCATTCGAGCGGATGAAGATATCGATCTAATTAGATAGGCGGAGAAGCATATCGATTATATATGAAAGCAATATGAGCATTCTGTGGGTGGCCACGTTAGCAGAACCATCGTTCGGTGCAGGATGACGGAAGGAGGCATGATCGTGTGAGCCTTGCCTTTTCCGCCACATCTATCTCATTTCTTGAGCCCTTGACACGATATGTGCTTTTCTCCACACGATGCAAGCAGAAACTTGAAGTTTGGTACCGGCATCCCTACGAACTGGTGGCTCAACTGGTAAGCGACGAGGCTAGATCGCCGGCCGATTCCGGCAACTACACCCAAGCCGCAGGTGTCAAGCACGGCATCAAGAAAACGCCATTCCGCGCTCAGATCTCACAAAAAAAGATCCAATTGACCTAGACATGTTTCTCCGACCAGCGCGCACCTGCACACGTTCACTCTCCACATCAACCCGCGCAATTGCGGCCCGGCCGTCCATAAACCCACCAAACGACGCTTTCCGAAACCGGCAAAACCTAGTTCCCAAATTTTCGACAAAACAGTCATCATTGCAATTGAGCAGCAGGCGATTCATAACAACTTCAGTACCGCGACTTCAACAAATCGGCTCCGCAGAACGGATTTCAACATCCAAAATGGCAGGCGACGATCACTACCTCACGCTCTCATGCCCGGATAAGGCAGGCATTGTGTATGCCGTCACGGGCCTACTGGCAAAGGAAAACCTCACCATTCTCGATCTCCAGCAATTCTCCGACCCGGACTCCAAGACCTTTTTCATGCGTGTGCATTTTGGCCACGCAGCAGATGTGTCCGCGCTGCAAGAAAGCATGAAGAAGCTCGCTTCGGAAATGAGCATGACATACCAGATCCAACGGGTAGACTCCAAGCCCAAAGTGCTCATCATGGTATCCAAAATCGGACACTGCCTCAACGACCTCTTGTTCCGCGTCAAGTCTGGCCAACTCAAAGTCGACGTACCGATTATTGTGTCCAACCACCCCGAGTTCGCGGAGCTGGCAAAGAACAACGGTATTGAGTTCCATCACCTGCCTGTAACCAAGGACACCAAGGAGAAGCAGGAGACCCAGATTCTGGATCTCATCAAGCAACATAACATCGACCTTGTTGTTTTGGCGCGCTACATGCAGGTCCTCTCACCGCGCCTGTGCACGGAGATGTCGGGCAAGATTATCAACATTCATCACTCTTTCCTGCCTTCGTTCAAGGGCGCGAAACCTTACCATCAGGCCTACGAGCGTGGTGTCAAGATCATCGGTGCGACCGCACATTTTGTCACCGCGGATCTGGACGAGGGGCCAATCATTGAACAACGCGTTGCGAGGGTCGACCATGCTTTGAGCCCCAAGGAGTTGGTCGAGGAGGGCAGTAATGTCGAGAGCCAGGTTTTGGCTGCGGCAGTCAAGTGGTGGAGCGAGAAGAGAGTGTTTTTGAATGGTCAAAAGACTGTTGTGTTCAACTAAAGCGTGCCATCAAAAGTCGACGAAAAGCAATGTAAATATACACATGGGTCATGAAAAGCGTCTGAAAATTGATCTACAATGGATTGCGCACGCTCACCACTTCACGCGCAGGCCTTCAAAACTTCTCGGCATAGGTGGAAAGTCAGCAGACAGGCCATCTTCGCCGATGTACTTCTCCTTCAGTAGCAGGCAGGTCGAGCACAGACGCTCCCCGATTGAATGTTCACCGAGCCAGATCCGGCCTTGAGCGCTGTAAAGTAAAGTCGCTATGTCGGTGAACATGTTCGATGTGGGATTGGTTTGGAAGTCGGTATCATTGAAAACGTGCGGCTGTGCGTCGAAGAACTCGTCATCCGCACGCGTATCGTCGTCGTTGTCGTCCGTTTGAAGCATTCCGGTATAGTCCTGAAGCTCTTCTAATATCGTCGAGCCTTTATGAATCGTGTCGCAGACACAGTTCGAGTTGTGACCGGACTTGACGCATTCTGTGACGGCTATACGCGCAGGTTCGACCAGTCCGCCAGCAAATGGACCATAGTCGTCTCCGCAGTGAGTGCATGCAGTCCTTGATGACTTTCCAGCGCCGCGAGGGATATGTTTGGCCTGAGTCAGCACACGGACGAAGGTCCTTCGTGTCATGCCCATTCGGCATAGATAGTCATCGAGCTCTTCGCGCATGTACACTTTCAACTGCTCAATGCAGTCCAACACTGCGCTACACCAAGCCGAGTAGATACTAGGCAGTGCTTGCAGGTATTGCTTATGTGTGAGGTTGTCCTCCATCCAATCAAAGCCCTTCATCTGTAGGAAGGCGCCGGCGTTCACTGCCATTGGTAGGACCACTCGACCGATTACACGTAGAGCGAGCCAAGAGCCCATAGCGTGTAGGTGTCTCTTGCTGATCTCCATACGCTCTTCGCTAGAAAGACCGAGAATTTGCTCAAGGTAGTTGTTGTGATGCGCATGGTTGAGAACAGATCTCATCGCGTGTTGCAGGGCGGACCAGACATTGCGCACGCTAAATTCGACGTATTGCTCATTCAAAGTAAGGTTGAGTAGCCACGTGATACTGTTTCGCGAGATTGGAACTCGTTCTCTTGCATATGCTCTCTTGAGCCAGTCGTGGACACACCAACCGTCGCCTTCAGTGTCTGATATGTCAATGCATTCAAAGAAGAGTCTGAGCATGGCGATTTTGATATCAGCCTGCTCATCGGTACAAGCTGCTACGAAGAGTGATACTGGTGATCTGTTTTTCTTAGCAGCGGTTTCGTCATTTGACACTGGGCACCTACAAGATCGCGTCAGATGGCCCTTCGTATACCAGTGCGGACTTGTCGGCGCCTGCCTTTATTAACAAAGCGCAAAGCTCGACGTGACCTGCTGCGGCGGCAAACTAGCCAAGTCAGCATACTTGAACGAATCTTCGCACAAGAGCAGTGTCTTACGTGCAGTGGCTTCCATCCTTTAGGGCTCGTGTCTACTACGCTTGCCATTCCTCTCTCCAAAAGCGTTTCGACAGCACGAATCTGACCGGTGCGGCAGAGCTCGAAGATGAGTGAGTCATCGGAGACCGGGCGAGTTACTGTTATGTTACAATTAAAGAGCCAGCTCCGACCTCCAGATGCTACGACAGCTTCGAGGCCACTCCGAACGCCCATGTACTGTTGCCATTTTGTGGGGTATAGAATCAGCGATCTGATGATCTGCGACTTCCTAGTTCTCTTGGAATGCGTGTTGCCGTGATGTATGGTCGTCGTGCGTAGCCAAGCACATCCGAGTGCAGTGCGGAAGACTGAGACATGGTGATTTACGTGATACCGCAGGTTCTCGGCATAGACAAAAGTCTTGGCCCTCAGCTGTCCGCATTCATCGATCGTATAGCCGTCTTGTGAATAGATCTCCATCGATGTCGGTTCGAAGACGGTGACTGCAGTCTGTGCGATGAAGTGCAACATAAGCTCCTGTGCCTCATGATTGATCGAGAGGCGCTCCGTTGGTATTTTACGTGAAGGTTGTAGTGCGTTCGTCGTGAATGAAGACGTCATACGGCGGAGGGAACGCTGGCCAACGAATTTCGACGGAATACCTTGCACTGTTGTCCAGCTAGACGCGTCTTTGATCCTGGGTAAACGAAGGTGGCCTTCTTGAACGGCTTTAGAAGCACTATGTGTACCGATCTCTCTAAACACTTTCACTCTTGTCGGAAGACGGGAAGAGCGAGCTTGAATCACGCTAAATTTGTGTGTTTAGCGAACCACTATTTGCATGCATGCAATTGCGTCATACCTTTCGTGGGCCATAGCCAGTGTAAGTGTCGACTTTGTGTCGTTCAACGAGTCACGGAATCGTTGGATATGTTTGCTGTGAAGGGCAGCTTTGAAAGCCGTACGTACACGTTGCCGCCGCGACAGCGATGAGAGACCACCATCGAATCTTTCAACAATGAGAGTCAGATCCTGGAATGATTAGTTACAGCTTACGTCCCTAAACCGAGTCGCTTACTGCAATCTTGGCCCGGCAGTGTTGTACACCTTCTGATAGACAACCACCAAGATTGTTGTCATTTGATTCGACTCTCTGGAAGACTGAGATCAGGAAGCGAAGGTCTTCCTTGATGGCAATGATCTCCCGAGGAGCATCTTCGACTGTCTCCCAAAACGTGTAAAGTTTGATACACGCTTCGGTAAGTTGAAAAGCCACAGATATAACAGCGAGGCCTGAATGCTGTCAGTAAAAGATAATGAAGTCGTTCATCGAAAATACCATTTGCAGCGACCGAAAGTCCTTCCATTGTCTTGAAGCCTAATTACTGATTACATGTCAAGAGCAGTCCGACTGGAGCTTATATTTCAGTGAGCCTACTGCGGTGCAGCAAAGGGGCGAGGTTCACTCACGTCTCAGCATTGCCCAGTTGTGGCTGCGCCAATGCATATTCAATGATTCCCCTGTAGGTCGCCTCGTGCTTTACCTCCACCAAATCCGCGCTGAGTACGTCTTTGAGCCTTGCGCATGGTCATAGCTGGGAAGCCGAGAGACAGCATCGAACAATAATGTGCGCGGCAGTTTGGCGCGCTTGCGTGGATAAAGGCCATGGCAGTTGCCCATTACCTTGTTCCTCTCCGGTTGTAATATCAGCAAACTTCAATGCTTGACAAGACCTGCCCATTAGCTCGATACGATCTCGATGTCTGGGCGACGGTTCGTCAATGGTGCTCGGGTTCAGGAGGTTGGGCCGATCGACGCTTCCGCCCCCACACTATCCAGTTGTGCGTGCAGCCGTGACGTAACGGGTGTCGAGGCCGACGCGTTCCAGGAAGCTCTCGAAGACGGGTTCACATACAATAGGCTGGGGCATCACGTGTCGCAAACTCAAGATGAGAGAATGAGAGCTTACTGGGCAGAGGCACGGGAAGAACCAGCGCGCTAGCGACAAGATGGTCAGCGACCCCCGCACGTGCCGACAGCCACCCCCGGGGCCATCTCGCTTGGGTCCGACATTCATTCAATCAACGAGCATCAACAGCAAAAAGAGATGGCCATGCTTTGAATTTGTTTGCCTTCTCAAAACGCCTTAGAAACTTGCGTCCGGCGAGATGTCTCCGAGCAGGCGACATCCGCGCTAGATATGCGTATACGGTACAGGCTGAGCCAGCCAAAGCGGGTGCAGGATGTTGGATCCACCTGTCTATTCATCCTCCATCTCCGACTTTATCGGCACTTGCCCGTTCCGTCGCTTTGTTAACCCCGCATACGGCGCACCTCTAACAATAGGCGCGATTTCTGAAGCAACGCCAAAAGCACAGTGATTCACACTCTGAAAGTCGCCAATCCCCTGATACCCATGTTCCCTCATGTACTCTGGATCGTTACTGTTTGCAAGAACACCAAACTTGAGTCTAGTATGCATCAACTCCAACGGAAATGGATCATTGCCCAAACATGCGCCGCGGCTAATGTCATCCAAGGTGGTGTTCCGTGTGGTAACTAGAATGCGAGAGAAGCCAGTCGAGAATGTCGTTCCGTCTTGCCAGATTGTGAAAGCGCCGAAGAGGAGGATGAGGAGTGTGATGAAGATGACTGGCGCGTAACATTGCCAGAGCCGTTCGGGGACGTAGACGAATGAGGACTGGAGTCGCGAGCGGTTCACTGTACGCTGTTCTTCGGCGACTGCTAGCATCTCTGGCGCTGATAGCAATGACAGAACCATGTCTGAGTAGAAGGTCTCGATCTCGTCGGTCAAGTTTTGCTTAGGCTCGCTGTTCTTCTCGACTAGTCGTGTCTTTGTAACATCAGAATAGACTTGTGCGTAGTATGGTCCTGGCAATGGCGGTTCGAGATCAACGTGCCCACGAAGAAAGTTTCTGAACATGTCGCCGACAGCATGGTATGCGGCCGTCTTCTTGTATAGACCCACATCGTCCCGCGGGCTGACGTAATTTTCTGCTGGTCCCGGAGCGATGGTGTAGTTGGTCTTGCCGTCAACTCCCCGCGGAAAGCTGGCATCTATAATGAGCCTCTGCGGTTCTAGCTTGACCGTGGAATTGAAGAAGGGTTCAGTGAAGTTCCAGCTGACTGTATACTTAGTCTCCACATGTAAGCAGCGCATGATTCGTGCATCATAGCGATGTGTCCAGTTCTTTGCAAGAGGGTCGTCTTCCGCGAGCTTTACTGTGGAATTGAACGCATAGCCAATCCAGAGCGCAGGTTCTGACTTGAAGACACCCAGGTCGACTGGAATTTCACCATCAGGTATACCACCCGAACCTTTGCGGAAGTTGTCGGCTTGCGGGCGGGCATATTCGCCCTCGTCGACGTCGGCGTAGTAAACGAAGCGGCCCCGCGGTGCCAAAATGCTCATGTTGAAGGGCGCACCCAATTCCGTTAGTCTCTCATCGTCATCTGCACCACTTGCTATTTCTTCGCACTGGTAGCTCGGCCCAACAAAGCTTTGTTCGTACGTGCAATTGAACCGCCCTCCACAAGCGTCTTGCCGAGCATCTTGCCTGATGTTGGGACGGTCCACGTTGCTATAAGCCAGCAGAAGAGCGACACGTCTTAACTCCGCCGAGGGCTGATCGTAATAGTCAAACCACCCTGGTGCAGTGCCAGATAAATCTGTAGTATTGTAATACATCATCGATCTCTTGTTGCTTCCGTCTGCCAACTTCACCGGATGTCGCCAGTCTTTTGTGGACTCCATCGAGAAGTTCAGCGTGGGAACGTTGAGATCGATTGTCTCGCTGTCGAGATAGGTTCCGAAGGTAAGCGCACCGGGCGAGAAGATGATTGTTGCCAGCGGGACCAGCCAGATGACCTGCAAGCCAGCATCTTTGATTAGTGATATATTCTATACAGTTCTTGAAGGGATAGTTACTCACCAAGGCAATAGCGCACAGAACCGGTGCACTAGAAAGGGCCTCCCAATTGCCAAAGATTGATGGATCTTCCGTAGCCCCGAAGATCTGGTCGATAGACAGCACTGTGAAAGCCCGGCTCCTAAACGCTCTCCACATGCGCTGACGGAACACCAGAATCACACATCCGCCGAAAGCAAGCTTCGATAGATAGGCAAGTGCGCGCCCATACAGAACCCAGCGAAATTTCTTGTCCTCGTCCTCTTCTCGCTGGTGGTGCAAGAAAGTATACAAGAGGTGTTGAAGAAGCGCAAACACGATGCCCATGATGAAAGCAAACACCATGAGTGCTGGCCCACGCCAGTTTACTCGCCATTGAGTTGACTGCGTCGCTCGGTGTGCTATCAACCTCTCGGTCATAGGATCTGTTCGCGCTCTCGAGATGCCTGATCCAAAGGAATACAGTGTATCCGGTGTTCTGGAGTATGGTGGCCGTGGCCCTGGAGAGTAAATTGGAGGAGAAAAGGCACCAGGCTTCGTATTAGGTGTGTCCTGCCGCCAATACGTAGAGCCTGGTGATTTGGGTGATGGCATGGGCTCCATTTGGATACCTAGGCCTGGGTCGTTGACGTTTTCGCTGTATCTTGATGGCGTCCCGCGCCTGCTGTCGGTGGACTCGTCGCTTGTTCGTGAAGGTAGAGAGGCATAACCTGGTCGGGATATGCGAATGTCCGGCGATGCAGGTAAATATGAGTATTGTGGAGTTTGAGGTTCCATGTTGGCATTTGTTGGAGGCGTCAAAAACCGGATTGGCACATAGAGCGCTTGGCTGGATCATGTCTCAGTAGTTTGAGAGTCTGTAGTTGCATGTTTGAAGAAGATAAGGGTCCGCACTGTGGAATAGATATCCTAGATGGTTTTACAAAAGACCGGTCAGCATCCTCGGAATGGCCGCTCTGGCGTCGTAGCTGAGCTGCATCTTCCTAGGGCTGAGCTGTAATCGTCAGCTGGCAGGGGTTGCACACGTTAGAGGCTCATCATCTGATGTCAGTCGGTCCCCGGTGCTCGCACGGGAGTGTCGCAACAACAACGGCAGCCAGCCGCATCGCGCGACCGACTTATCAGGCCCTTGGCTGCGCCTGGTCCATTCGCGCGCGAAAACTATCATAGTGGCGACGTGTGGCTTACACATCTGAAACGGTCAATGCTGCGCTTGAACATGACGAACGCCTGATGAGCGGTGTCGTGGTGTCTGGTGCAGGAAAGCCATGGAGGGAGGCACGGAGGAAGCTCGGACGGAACAGGTGCGTTAGCCGAGAGTCATCCGCAACAAGACATGTACGCGCAGCAGCAAACAAAGTCACTACTACACGACACAAATACATTTGTGCATACAATCATGCTACAGTGATCTCGCTACATCCGAGAGGCAGTATTGTAGTACTGAACTATGGCTTTGGCCAACGAAAAGAAGCGATTCGCAATCGCATATGGTTCACATCACGAGCTCGCAACACGATAAATGGACTCGCTACAGGCGTTTGAATGTGGGATGATATCGCAAGCAGTCATTGAAACCTGTTCATCTATCTCAGGCCGCCTTGTGCATCTCAACAGTTCAGTCCCCTCAAATCTCATAAAATCTCCTCGCTTCATCCTCAGTCACAGCGCTAGTGTGGCACCTGTTCAAGTCCACAAGTCCATACTTGCTCCCCTTGATCTTCCACCACATATCGCGACGATTGCCATTCAGCTTGCCGCCCAGGATGTCTTCCTTCAATTGCTTGATGAAGGGGTTGTATATGTCTGGCTCCTCGAGCTCGATAAGCTCCTCGCGCATGACGCGAATGGCCTCAAGTGCCCGTCCATAAGCATTATCGCCCACACTGTTGCTGATAAGGTTGCGAATCTCCTTTGCAACGTCGTCCACGGCTTCTTGAATAGCCTCCATGTCATCAGAAGCGGCCAGTGCTTGCTTGAATGAGGGTATGAGGTTGTTGGTTTCGATCTTGACTCGTTTGGGGTTGCCAAGGAGTGCGTCAACATCGAGACCGGAGAGTGGCTTGTCGCGATCTCCACGCTGGCGTTTTCCTCGACCTTTGACCTTTGGTGGGACTTTCTTGACATCTGCTGCTTCCATCAACCTCTTGAATTGCTTTTCCGATGCGGCGAGGAGCTCTGCTGGTGGCGCGGAGTACTTCATTAGGATCTCGGGTGGATCGGGAATAGGCAGCGTAGGGTCGGGGTGCGTTGCTCGCCATTTGATCACATGCCCAATGCGGTGGACAAGGGGTGAGAACGTATCCTCTGGTTTTGCGTATTCCTCTGGGTTACCCTCTTCGTCGCGGCCAAATGTCGATAGATCCATTGCATCGACATAGTCGCTCATTGCGTCGAGGAGCTTGTCGGTAGGCAAGTCTCTATGCTCTGTGATAGTTTTGCCACTGACTGTGAGCTTTCGATCTAACGGTGGGAACTTGTACCGTCTCATGTCTTCCTCGAAGGGAAGCTCGACATCGACCAAAGCCTCCCACTCCAGCTCGATACGGG